TATTACTGATCCTCTCCTCACCCTCTCCCCAGGACTCTTGAGAAACGCGAAACCCATATGGGAATGGAATCTCACATGATGTGCGTATTATGGTTTGTGTGATGGAATGCTGTGAAGATAAAGGAGAGGTAGAGAATGGAAAGGCAGGCTGTGCGCGTGTGTGCATGTGTGCGTGTGTGTGCGCACGCTTGTGTGCCTGTGTGTGCATGTGTGCGCGCGTGCATGTGCGCGTGAATGTGTGTGTGTGCGTGTGAGTGTGCATGTGGATGTGTGTGTGTGCGTGTGTGTGCATGTGTCGAGGCAAGAGATATTCACAGCAGGTGTACTGATGTTGTCCAGGAGCTGGGCTGTGGGTGGGCCCAGGGCACACGAGTGTGTGCACCCAGGCGGAGCCGCTGAGCCACTATGTCAGTGCTAGTGTGTCAGCCCCGGGATGGGGTTGAGCCTGCTTTTATCTCCTCTGGCTGTGCAGGATTTACAAGCTTTTGAAATGCAGGATTAATAAGAAGAGGCCGGTGTTTTAATCTATAATGGAACAGAAAGTATCATTATTGTTAAATAATGCACAGCCTGTCGTTTATTAAGAATTAATGGTTTATCGAGTGTTCAGGTTGCAGCAGCCGCCTGTACCCTCCCTGGCCTGGGCTCCTAGCTGGTGGCCTGGCCTTCAGTCCTATCCCCAGAGCCTGCAGGCTGCAGCAGCAGCCACCAGTGGGCGACCCAAAAAGCTCAGAGCTTCTGCTGAGGGGCTTAGCTTCTCTTAGTAATGTTCCCTGGTGGAGTCAGGGACAGACAGGAGAGTGGGGAGATGTGACACAGTGATCCCCTCTCACTCCCTCAGCCTGGATCCTTCTGTCCCATTCTACAGAGAGCAGCACCCTTGTCCCACCATATTTTAGGCTAGGAGGACAGTAGAGATCCAGTTGTGCAGGAAGTTCCTTCCTGCCGGGTCATGGAGTGTGGTGTCACAAATTTCTCAGAAGCATCAGCAGCTCCAAAGAAGGAAGCCACATTAACCAAGGACTTTCTACAGACCAGGTATTTACCAGGCATCATTCCACTGTAACTTGTATCACCAACTAGCACATATGTTTCCATCTTATAGATGGGGAAACTGGCCGGGCGTTGGTGGCGCACGCCTTTAATCCCAGCACTTGGGAGGCAGAGGCAGGTGGATCTCTGTGAGTTCGAGGCCAGCCTGGTCTATAAGAGCTAGTTCCAGGACAGCCTCCAAAGCCACAGAGAAACCCTGTCTGGAAAAAAAAATAGATGGGGAAACTGAGGCTCACAGAAATTACAACATCCATCCAAGAACACATCACAGATGGACCTAGATCCAAGCCATTTTTTTAAAGACTTGTAGCTCAGGCTGGGTAGTGGTGGTACACACCTTTAGTCCCAGCACTCAGGAGGTGAGGCAGTCAGATCTTTGTGAATTCGATGGCACCCTGGTCTACAGAGTGAGTTCTAGGACGGGTTCCAAAAAGCTACACATAAAAAAAAACTGTCTCAAAAAACAAAGCAAAACAAAAATTACATGTAGCACATCCTGGCCTTGAACTACCTATGAGCCAAGAATGACCTTGAACTCCTGATCTCCCTGCCTCCACCTACTGCATGCTGGGATTACAGATCTGTACCATCACACTTAACTTACAGCAAAGCTATTCTGTTTCTCCAAATCCCTTTCCAGTCCAGGCCTTGGGGCACCAGCTCTAGGCTTCCTCATTGCTAACAAACAGATGATTTTCAAGGGCAGTGCTTGAGAATTGCTATGGGGTCTCTGTGCCTGTCACACGGCCCGTCAGCTGCATGACGCACAATAAAACAAAACCCCCAGCAAATCTAGAATCTCCTCCAGCAGGGAGCACTGTGTACAAGACTAGACGATGTCACAGATGGTGGCCAGGGTCCTGACCCCAGCTTAACATCACAGTCAGACCCATCCTTGACCCCTGGACACATACGGCCTTGTTTCGCCATCGCCAACCTGTATGGTTTAAACCTCTGGCCAGAAAGACTCGACATAGATCCACCTTTTGATTACATGTCCACTACATCTGCGGCAGAATCAGAACCCTGTGACCTTGAATAAGTTGCTCAACCTCTCTGAATCTCTGGTGGATTTCGTAATAGGCCAGCCTGAAAGGAATATTCTAAGTGCTCGGGGAGGTCATCCATGTCGATGTGTAGCACAGACTTGACAATAAACACTGGGCTGATACTGGGGAAGAGGCGTCGTGGGGCTGTGGATTCCGGCGGATATTCCCAGCATCCACAGCCCACCAGTTTCCACCCGGTTCCTCTACTGCTGTGCACACTCCAAGTGCACACTCCTCAGGCTCACCGCTGAGGCTGCAGTGAGCCATGTCCGTCCCTATCAGACCTTCAAGCCCTGTTCTCCTTCCTTCCTTCCTTCCTTCCTTCCTTCCTTCCTTCCTTCCTTCCTTCCTTCCTTCCTTCCTTCCTTCCTTCACTCCGGGCTCCAGTCCCTTTCCTCCGGCCTTTATAACCTTGCACCCTCTGAAGCCCCCTCCATACCTATCCTACCTCCTCTCTACGCCCCACGCTCAGCTCTCATCCATCCCAAACAACACGGCGTTTGGCAGCTGCCTCGTTCGCGCTGCTTTCCTCCTCCCCCCTTGCCTCCTTGCCCATCCTCAAGCCGCACCATTCTTGTCTCAGGCCGGACTCTTCTTCCCCAGCCACTGTCCTCCCGCATGCCCAGCCTCCTACCATCCCGGTTACAGGGGTCCCGCAGGTTCTGCTGGGGGTGGTGACACTGCCCCTAGAGGCCACTGTGGGAAGGCGCACTATGACAAAATGAACCCCCCGCTCTCCCTGGGCGGGCGCAGCCCCGGCACCTGCAGCGGCCGGAGCCCCGGATTGGCTGGAGCTCCGAGCGCTCCTGCGCCGCGCTCCCCACCCGCGGCCGTCCCTGCCTTCCCTGGGCGGGCCACCGCGCTGGGACCTCGGCCCACAGCCGGGCTCCTCACGCGGCTCCTGTTTTATTAACCTGCTTGTCGCTGCTCTCTCCACTGAATAGGGCCTGGGGGAGGGGGAGCCGCGAGGCGGGGGCCGGGCTTTGCCAGGGTCACCATGGAAACGGCGGCTCGGCCAATCAGTGGGCGGGCGGGCGGGGGCAGCGGGCCGCGCGGTCTCCGAAGCCTCCTCGTGCCGCCGCCGCCTGACAGGCGGTGCGCAACCCCTGCGAGGCAGAGGATGAAAGCGGGGACAGGCCCCTAGGGGAGGCGGCCCTGGCAGCTGAGTGTCGGGGCGGCTGTGGGGCCAGGGGCGCCGGTGTGTGTGGGGGGGGGGCTAGAGCAGAGGATAGGGATGGAGGGCGTGCTGGCGGCGAGCCCTGGCGTGGGAAGCCCGGCACAGGGGACCCGGTTCCTCCCTAGGGGAAGCGTTCCGACCACCTCACGCTGTGTGTGGTCAAGGACCCGTCCCTGCACCCGCGGCCAGCCCTCTACTCCCTCGTTATGACAAGCAAAGATGATGGCACACATTGTTGAATGTCCCTCGGGGAGGGAGGGAGGACTGTCCCCGTCCTGGAGCCACTGAGCAGCACCAGGCAGTCGTCACTGTTTATGAAACTTGTTGCCCCTGAACTGGCTCCCCTGCGGGCAAGGAGGAGGACACCAGGAGGACGCGGGAGCAGAAGCCAGAGGGAAACAGGCTAGGGGTGGGGGTGGGGGTGAAGGAGACAGGACTCCAGGGCTGCCCATTCGTGCTGCAAGGAGCAAACAAAGCAGGCTCCCCAAATGCCTTCCTCCCTGCCCAGCCTTGCCTAGCTGTCCTGCCGACTGGCTCCAGACACCACATCCAGGAAGCCCTCCCTGGTTTTCTCGTTGCCGTTGCTGGATTTTCTTTCTTCAGAGCAGCTCATCACTCACCTCTGCCTCCACCACACCCCTCTGACTCACTGCTTAACTCACCCCTGCTGAGGCAGAGCCCTCCCTCTGCCAGACCCTGACAGACTTCATTGCTACGTTCTCATTTTCTCTTCACAACTCCACACCATGCTAGGTACCATTGTCATCACCATTTTCAGGTGAGGACTGGGAGGCTCCCATAAGCAAGCCCGCCCAGGATCGATCCCAGAGACAGCAATGCGGACTCCAGGGAGGTTGTGGGGTCTGAGGGCTTGCCTGTCTAGCCTCAGATGTGCAGTGGGAAGCTCGTGCCTCCTGGGTGGGTCTGGAGCCCAGCCCAGCACACACTGGTGAGCAGCAGGCACTGCCCAGCTGCTCTGAGTAGGAACAGCCAGGCATCCAGCCCAAGAAGGCTAGAACTGAACGGCAACCCCAGGGTGCTGGTCCCCGGGAGGCCAGCAGGGTTTGCTGTGACAAGGTCTAGTGGGAACAGTCCCATGAAAGGAAGTACCACTGAGACCACTTCCCAGCCACACTGCCTCACCCGGTCTCCCGTGGATGCTGGGTCATGGCCCCCCCTAGTGGCCAGAGGGTCACCCTGACGACCGCGGGTGTCTTCTCACCTAGCTGAATTCTCAGGCTGCAGGGCATCCCCTTGGAGTTAGAGCTAAATGCCTCAGGCGACTGAACTTGCCCCAACTTGAGCCTAACAACGCAAACCACCACCGCCACCCCTGCCCCACGGGAAGAGTCTCTTCCCTCCGCCCCTAACACATTTGAAAAGGTGTTGCCCTCCTTCACAATGGCCAGAATGAGTCCACACTGATCCCCCGCAAGAGGTGGCTTGAGACTGCGGGGCATCTGCCAGGAAACAGTGAATAATGCTGCTTCCCACTCAGGTTTTGGTCTGGAATCCAGGAGCTGGAGTCCCAAGGGGCTCCCTTCCGAACTGCTACCCCCACACACACCATGCACCACCCGCCTCCCTCAGGAACCTGCCACACACGCACAGCACCTCGGCTTTGAAGGCAGGGCTCCTGGCAGGCTGCCGTTCCCATGGCAACTCCATCCCAGGCTGCCCTACCCGGTACTCCCCTCCGCCCCCTTCCTCCACCCTGAATCCACATCACCTTCATTCACAGAACCAGCGCGGCATCACATCGGCAAAGTGGACCCCCTCCCCCAGGCCTCTCTCCCTCCCCCCTCATTGGGAAGCCAAGGGGTGGAGAGTGAAGGTGGCTAGAGGCTGAGCTGAGGTGGGTGAAGGGAGAGGGTGGAAACTGGGGGAAGCCAGGGCTCCGCTCCCCGCCACACCACACCATTGTGGTCCCCGAGGTTTGAGCTTCTGCTCTCATTCCCAAGGCTGTTCCATCTTGGTGCATGGCTCTGTGCCTTTGCCGAGTGAAAGTCCAAAGCATAGACAGGCTCCCTGATGAGCCTCAGGGCTCACACCGGGGTGCAACATCAGGACCCAGGTGCTGTCTCCTGCCAAACTGTACTCTCAGACCCTTGAACTCAGCTTCCAGCCCCAAGGCTGCTCCCATCCCGAGCTGGTGCCCCTTGCTTGGGAAAGGCACTCCTTGTCAGAGTTGGTGGGGGCACTGCAGCCTCCAGGGGGTCAGTGGGCAGTGGAGCCTCAACCCCCATCGCTGGTTAGACGACATGACTCCTCTGACTGGGGAAACTTGGCTTTGACTGGTGCTGTTGGAAGGTCCAGAGACGCCTGCTCAGGGCATGCCTCAGTCCTCTACAGGAGGCCAGGGCGATGGTCACAACCCAGCTTTAGAGCCTGGACTTGAATTGCAATGCCTTCATTTGTCCTCCGAGGGAAGCTTGTCTCCTCTGCCTTGATTCCCGAGTCTGAACAACGGAGGCAGCAACAGCACACAGGCCTTGGGCTGCAGTATTTCACTGACTCCTCTCCGAAGCTCAGCAGGATAGAATGGTTGTTGTCTGATCTACAGAGGGAAACTGAGGCTGGGATAGTCAGTGGCCCAGCGGAACTTTAATCAGGCAATAGAAGGCAATAACGGCACAGAGTCCAGACACAGCTGCTAAGTCTGAAGGGGCGGGGCCTCTGGAGGTTATGCTGGTACTGGGTGAGTCAGGCTGCCATGTGGTCTTACTGAGGTCCTATGACTTCAGCTCAGGCCCCCTGAGTCATTGCCTTTGCTCTGTGGATGTACAGCTTCTGCTGGGGATCCAGACTCTGCAGTCACCAGGCAAATTCAAGGTGAAGAAGAGACTTGGTGAGACAGAGTGATGTAGTCCAGGAGGAGAGCTAGCTCTGACCCAAGGAGCACGGGAGTGTGTGAGCCAAACACTTGACCGTGGACATCGACGAAGGTGAGGCCTCAAGGATGGAGAGACTTGTCCAACTGGGATTTGTTTGCTCTACCCTTCCTCCATAGGGTGCAGCCTGTGGGAAACAGAGCAAGGGCAGCAGTCTCTGGGTTTAGAATCCTCCAGAATGGAGCAGAAATCCCTAAGGAAGCAAGGCTTGAACCTAAAGGACAGCCCAGGGAACTCAATACCACTCCTGCCAGCCCCACAGCTTCCCAAATCCCTACAGCCACCCCAGTTCCTTAAGGGATCCTCAACTCCCTAGGTAGGCTAGCCACCCTGGGGATTTCAGTGTGCTGGGACCTAAATACACTCTCTCTCTCTCTCTCTCTCTCTCTCTCTCTCTCTCTCTCTCTCTCTCTCTCTCTCTCTCTCTCTCTCTCTCTCCAGCCCCAATCCCCTACCTTGAGTGAACAAGCCAAACAAACAGCATTGTTCTCCTACACAATGGACACAAAGAACTTGGGAATTCACAGAATGGTCCTGAATTTCAGCTTCCTTCCCCTCCAAGCCCTAGAGAGCTCCATTGTCTGCAAACTCCACTTAAAATAGGCACCACCGCTCCAGCTGTGGAGGCTCTTAAGACTCAAGGAAGCAGCCCCCCTTCCCTCCCAGTACCCTGCCGAGCCGGTGGGGAGGAGGGGAGAACGGCCTACAGTCCCGTGGTAAGCTGGGGATGACTCTGTCCTCAGTGCCACTCGGGGGCGCCCATTTTACAGCCAAAAAGCCCAAGAGCTTTACACTGGACCTAAGGACATGAAAGTTCCCAGCGTCCTTCCTCGGCTCCGCTACAGAAGGCTCCATAAATTCTTAAGGTATCTGTTCTTCTGAAAGGTTCCACCAACTACAAAACCATCCTTGAAGGAATGCCACCCAGTTACCCTACGGCTCAAGAGACTGGTCCTCCCCTGGCATGTGGTTTCTGGAGTCTGCATTGATGCTCTCCTGAGGTACTCTTTCCCTCCAGAACAACTCACTTCTCCTGGATGCCATTAATCAGTAGCTTTAAGTCCCTCCCCATGCTATTTCCTTCACCCCAGCATTCCTGAGCAGTTGCTCAGCAAGCACTAAGTATCCTCCAGAAAGCCCAGTGATGGTGGTGCACACTTTTAATCCCAGCACTAAGGAGGCAGAAGCAGGCAGATCTCCCAGTTCAAGGCCAAACCTGGTCTACCGAGGTAGTTCCAGGACAGCCAGGGTCACACAGAGAATCCCTGTCTAGAAAAACCATGGGAGTATCTTTCAGAGAAGAGGCCCTGTGCCTAGAGCTGGGCATCAGATAAGATCCCAGATCTCCAGATAAGCATGTAAATGAATGCATTGTTGCCAAGCAAGATAAAGGGTCTGACTATGTGAATTTGGGGAAAGCATCTAACAAAGGGTTCTTGACTACTGGAAGGTAACTGAGTAGCCACCAACTGGCTGTACAAGGGCCCATGGCAAGAGCGCACTGTTTTATCTGAAGAACTGAAGACACCAGTGGAATTGGAGGCCAGTGGAGTTTGGAGATGAGGTGTTTGAGCAACCGTGAGGGGTCTGATTCTAGAGCAAGAGAAAGACATAAAAGTATGCGGAAACAGCTGGTTTATTTTTATGAATATATGAAAAATGGAGGGTTTCATATAGCTCAGATGTCCTGGAGCTCACTATGGAGACGGGGCCGGCCTTGAACTACTGATCCTCCTGCCTCTGCGTCCTGAGTGCCGGCTGGCATCACAAGCGTGCACCACCATATCCACCAAGGTTGGGTGATTTCTGCCTCAGAAAGTCACAGATCCACGTGGCGCTGAGATTGGAACTCAGGTGGCATGCTTGCCTAGCATGCCCAACGCCCTGAGTCTAATTCCCAGCACCGCGTAGGCCGGACAGGACGGTGCAGTGCATACCTGTAACCCAGCACTGGGGCAGCAGAGGAAAGAAGCTCAGCAAGTTCAAGGTCAGTATCAGCAAGGTCAAGGTCAGCTTGGGCTACCTGAGCCCCGTCTCAAAGAAGAAGAGAAGGGATGGGGGAAGGAAGGAAGGAAAGGCGGACCTCGGGTCCCTGAAGTCCCTGCTCTCAGTGCCCCTGCACGCACTCTTCTCTCCACCCAGGATGCTCTGCTCTCAGAACCTCCATTTGGCCTTTGGCCAAACTACTCTCCCCTCCCCCACCAAAGAGCAGCTCTCCCTACATACCCTGTCATGCCACCTATTTAGACAGTTTGGTCCTTTTCATAGCATTTACATGGCCTAGAAAATAAATTATGTGTTTCTTTGCCTGCTTACTGTTGGTTTCTCCCTTCTACAGCATAGTTTTGCCTAGTCATTAAATTTGCATGCTTCAGATCCTATTGGTTGGCATGAAATGAGCCAGGAGAATGGGGTGCAGTTGGCCAGCCTGGTGCAAAGAGTGTCCTCAAGTGGCCACTATTGCCAGCCAGTGCAGAGAGAAGACTAATTCACCTCAAGTGTTCCACTCTCTATCCCCAGCATCTGAGTTGTCTCAGAGCTCTGTTTAAAAAACAATGATGTCTTCAGAGAAGGAAATCCAGTCTTCTGTGATGCAGCATTATGGCATTCAGCAAGGGCTGGCACATAGTAGGACCTCAGTAAATAATGGATTGAGTTGGACATTATGGTAGACACCTGGAATCCCAGAATCTGGAAGATGGAGGCAGTAGGATCAGAACCTTAAGGGTATCCTTAGCTACACAGCAAGTTGGAGGTCAGCCTGAGTTATGTGAGACTCTGTCTCACAAAAACTAAAACACCCCCCCCCCAGAATGAACAGGCGAATGAATGGCTGATGCACTCCAAGATAGAAGAACCAGTGTTTACCCCCAAACATACAAATATAAATGGATATACTCACAGGAAACGTGTGTGTGCTCAGCCACGCAGGCCAGTTCATTTCTACAAACTAGCTAAGCCATACCCACACTTCTGGCTGGACAAGGAGGACAAGGACAAGCGGACATTCTGTAGTCAGCTGGTTTATCAAAAATCAGGGTAGACTTTTAAGCACTACACCAGAGAAGCATCCGAGAGTCTGTGTCATGTGGTCTCTCACAGGCTCCATCTATCTCCTACCTTCTATGCCCCTCCCCCATCCACAGCTCATGGCTTCCTGAGGACTCTTCTGGGAATAGTTGACCCTGTCACCAAATGGAAGCTGCAAAAGAGAGCAGAAATTCAGTGGGATATCTCCAGGAGTTAACAATTTGACTACCTGGGAAATATTTTTTTAAAGATTTATTTGTTTGTTTGATTGTTTGTTGTGTATATAGTGTTCTGTCTGCATGTATTCCTGCATGCCCGAAGAGGGCACCAGATCTCATTACAGATGGTTGTGAGCCACCATGTGGTTGCTGGGACTTGAACTCAGGACCTCTGGAAGAGCTCTCAATGATCTTAACCTCTGAGTCATCTCTCCAGCCCCCCCCCCGGCAATAATTTATTACGGGGATCTTTGTTTATTTGCTTGTACCAAGGATAGAACCTAGTGTCTCAAGAATGCCAGGCAATGGGACTGGGGAGATGGCTTCCTGATTAAGAGCACTGGCTGCTCATCCACAGGACCCAGGCTTGATTCCCAGCACCCATATGGTGGCTCACAACTGTCTATAACTCCAGTCCCAGTGACTCCAATGCCCTCTTCTGACTTCCACTAGTACCAGACAGATACATGGTACACAGACACACATGCAGACAAACACACATGCAGGCAAAACACCTAAACACATAAAATACAATCAAATTTAAAAAAAGAATGCTAGGCAAGAGTTGGCCTGGGGGTTCATCAGGTAAAGGTGTGTGCTGCCTGTGTTCGACCCAGGACCCTACATAATGGGAGAAAAGGGACCCCTGAAAGTCGTCCGCATAGCTCCATGTGCATGCACTTGGGTGCACGTGACCACTCGTACTCACACACTAAGTAAATAAAAAGTGGAATTTATTTGGGAGGGGGAGAATTTGAGACAGGCCCTCCACCTCTAAGCTACATCCGGGCCCTCATGTTTTATTTTATTAATTTGTTGATTGGGTCTACTAAGTGCTAACCCTGGCAAAAGATGGGCAGGCTCACAGGCAGTGGCTGGCTTGGGGGCAGGAGGAGGCAGATATGGAACACTGAATGAACAAGACTCTTACATGGATTTCCTCACAGTCCCACTCTGAGACTGTGTGAGCACGTAGGCGTCTCTGTGGGATTGCTAGTATTCTCCCGTTTACAGATGAGCACATTAAGGCTTAGGAAGGGTTAAGCAATTTGCTCAAAATTTCCACGGCTGACTATTTGGCGGAAGAACGGATTTGCAGACACAGGAAGGTCATCCTGAGTGCGGCTGTAACCATATCAAAAGTGGAAGCTGGCTGGCGTGATGGTGCACTCCTGTAATCCAGCACTCGGGAGGCAGAGGCAGGTGGATCTCTGAGTTTGAGACCAGCCTGGTCTACAACCCAAGACAGCCAAGTCTGACTGGGCAGACTGGAGAATCACATTCCAGGAAGAGGCCACAGTTTGAGTAGTTTTCACTTACTGTTTTTTCTGTAGTGTGGCTCAAACCTAAGGTTTCACGGATAGCTGGCAAATACTACCTCTGGGCTATGCTCCTAGCCCTAATTTGTCTTATCAATATTTGGATAGTTTGGGGTTCTAAACCTTCATCAACAAAGCAACAGTTACTGGTATTTTTTTCCTCTCTGTGACCTTTAGGATATCAGGCCCTGGGACAGAGTCCCAGTCCTGGGTGTGTCTCTAGCCCTCAAACAGAGCCTTAGGAAGCAGGGGATGGGACTGAGGATGGAGGGGTGGGGAAAAGGCAGTACTTGGGTGAATTTGTCTCCCTCCTCCAGTTGGGGATGGGGGCTGAGGGCACTTGGGGACACTCTCAGGGGCAAGTTTGTCCTTTGCCCATCTGCATCCCTGCCTCTTGACTCATTTCATTCCAACCAATAGATTCGTAATATGCAGATTTAATGAGTAGGCAAAGAAATGATTGGCTCGTTCCCCTGATGTAATAAATGCCACTATTCAAGTAACGCTTATGTGCTCCCCCCATGCCCATTTGGGGCACTGGATTTTTTTTCTGGCAGGAATCCCCCAGCTCCTCTGTTTCCCCTTGTTGTTTCCCCATTCCAAGCTAGCAAATCACATCAAAATGCCCGGCTCATCTCCCAGGGGATGGGAGTGTAGCAGACTTAGGTCCTGCCTTGGCTCTGGTCTTCATCTCCAGTCCACGTGCCTTTGCGGGCTGCACAAAGCGTCAAACCCGATGACAGAGCCCAGTGACTGAGACATTTTGTGAGAATCCATGTCCAAAGCTTTCTAAAACCAAACCCCAGCATATCGGCTGTTCTTTTCAGCCCCTAATTTAGTAATTCTATTGAGAAAAGAGATTGTGGGTTTTTTTATTTGGTGTGATTTATTCTTTATCATATAAATAATAATAATTTACACAAAGCTCTTCCCCAAACAGAAGAGAATCTGTACATAAAAATAAACAAAAATTAAACTGAGCTGGGCCTGGTGCCCAGAAAACCAGCCAATTCCAAATACAACCAGGAGAAAAAACCCTCCAGGTCCTGGGAGCTGTGGGGCCTTGGCTGGAAGTCTGGGCGGAGGCTCTGATCCGGGAAGCCTCTGCCCTCTCTTCAAGTTTCTATGCAGGCCGATGGTGCGGATGGCAGCCGACATTCACAGGGAGCAGGCGTGCTTAGTGGACTGGGAGACAGGTGGGCTTCAGACCAGCAGCAATAAGCAGTTCCCAAACTCCTGGGCGGCGTTACTGGAGGCTGCCAGCTTCCAGGGGGTGGCAAGGGCTGCCGTGGTAGGGAAGATGGAGTGGAGTGTTGGCCAGCACCCAAAGAGGGTGGCTCTCTGCAGCTCCTCACAGGCCTGGGCTGGGCAGAGCGTCTTCTGGTCTTCCTTCCCTTGGCACTCTGACTCTCCCTCTCTAGAGGCCTGTTGTTTTTACAGATATTGAAGGATGACAAGCAATCTCCTTGGCCATTGATTAATTCCCTCAACACACACTCTTTGACTGTTTTAAATTCTCTTCCCACCCCCACCCCTGCCCTTATTTTCTGAGGACTTTCCACGTTCTTCGATTGTGTGTAGTGTAGGGGAACCTCCTCCTCTGATCCCACAGAAGGGGGTGGGTGTGCACTGCTCTGTAAGTGTGGCCATCATTGCAGCTGGAGATTTTACAAAAGGTGAAGGTGGTAACGGCAGTGGGCATGGGGATGTTGAAGAAGAAGAGGAAGACAGAGGAAGAAGGACATCCAGAGTGGTTCTGAGCCTGCTTTTGGGTCTCCGGTAATTACTAGTCCTGAACCAAAATGAAAAGTGAGAAAATGATGAATTGGGAAGGTAGTGAGGACAACAGCGCATTTGAGACTATGGAAGTGAAGGACAAGAGACAGGAAATACAGGTGTGGGTACAGCTTCCAGAAGGGAAGTGAAGGGCACACATGCAGGTGTGGGTACAGGTTCCAGAAGGGAGACGGGACATCACACAGCACAGCAGGTAAAAGCCGGGGTTCTAGGAAATAAACAAGGGGGGTTGGGGGCCTGAGAGATGCTCATCAGATAAAAGCCCTTCCTGGACTCACGAGGTGGAATGAATAGGCTCTTATAGGCAATCCTCTGACCTACACATGCCCCAAGAAAAATCGAAAAAGGAAAGAAAGAGAGGTAAAAAAAGAAAAGAAAAGAGTGATAAACCCTCTGTAAGGAATGCACCCTAGGTATAGATCAGGGTTACAACTACTTCCAGGTCAAGGGTCATAGAACCCAGCAACAAGCTTGAGAAAGTCCAGGACTTAGCTTGAGTGACTCCTGCCCAACCCCCACCGGGTGTCCTGAGTGAAATGATTTGGAGAGGATGGTGTCTGAAGCTCACCGGTCCCCTTGGGCAGCCGCTCTGTGGGAGTGACTGCATGGCCCGTGGGAACGTCCTATCTCCAGACAGGCCCATGCAGGTGTGTAGGCTCAGGTACAGATGGAACAGCATGCCTGTGCCAGGGGTCAAGCAAAGGGAGGTGCTGAGCAGGTCAGACCGGCCTCCTTCCTGGAGAGATCTCCCTAAAGGCGGGAGGCTCCTGTGCCCCGCCCCCTCTAAAACAACTGCCAAGCTGTAAGTGGCCTCTCATCTTGTGTCCGGATGCAGAGCCTGGTGAGGCTGTGTATGACTGGGCCACGTTTGCCATCTGCTCTCAAGCTTGGCTAAATATGGCTTTCACCGTTTCGGCCCCTTTTTTGCATTCCTCATAATGC